CAACCGTGTTCATATTACGCCTCAAATTTCAGGCGGGAAAGAAAACACACGCGCTCCGGGACACGATGATATGACTGAACCTCTTTGTTGTTTGGTGATGGGGCTGACCTACCTCCCGGTGGGCTTGCGGAGGTTTTTTTTCAGGGCGGCGTCCGGCCCTTCCCCCCCGACGAGGCTGTTCAACGAAAAATGTTTTTCAAGCCTCCGTGGTTATCTGTGCGGTTTCCGTAAGTAGGAACCGGGGCATGTTGGCTCCAGCTTCACGAGCGGATCTTGTTTCAATGGGCTCCTTCAAATCCTGTTGGTTGCTACGGAGTGCGTTTGGCGTGTTTAGTTGACGAACGCAGTTTCAGCTCGAGGCAAAGAACATGTCTTTTCAATCCCTCACGTGCTGCGTAGTTCGGTCCTACTTATACCAATATTTGCGGAAACATGTTGCTGACATTCAAGTGCCCTGTTGCAGTGCATGCGAGACTTCAACCGCATTATCATTTGCGGCACCGGCAGATGAGGGTGGGTCAGCCGTTCCCTAGCTTGCCGCGCTTCACGCATTGCGCATTTTCTCTCGTACCGCGTGCTCTTTCCATGGCTATGGTGACGGTTTTTGTTGGCTCAGGATCACCTGACAGCGTTTTTGTGTGCTCCTCCCTCTGCTGTACCTTTGGCTTCCAAGGTCGAAACGCCTTGAATTCGTTGACCACCCCCCTGTCCTGTCGTGCCCTGTCGTGCCCTGCTTGGATGCACCAAGGCGGAGGCATCCCCCGGCGAGCTTGTCGGGGTCCAGCTCGTGGCACCGCCGTTGATCGACACGGAGTCATCGCCTCAGGTACGAAACGAATCCCAAATTCCATACCGTACATTTCCATACCATACATATACAACCACCCCGCACCGCACGCGGGGTGTGGCGAATCGTGCTCGAACCTTGGGACTGGTCCGCGATTTCTCTGGTACCTGCCTAAATTGGCCAGGATGCCGAACGAGGTCGTAGAGCACGAGGTAAATGTTCTCTTCCCCCATCCGTCGTGGTCGCCGAAAACCACTTGGCGTGTTTCTTTTCTTCTACTGCTTTGCCCAGAGGACTTGTCCTCCTCTGTCACTGCTCTGTGCGCGTTATTCGGCGATCGAGAGGCTTGCTGCGCTTTACCGTTTCTCGGTACCCCCGCTGTCCTCTCGTTGTTGGGACCGCGCTTTGCGCTTTTGTCACCGTGTGTGCGCCTCCGGCGGCCTGTGAACGCTGGAGGAACCGTTGTTGGCGCTGCGATTCTCGATAACTGCTCTATCGGCACGTGTTTGTGTTGCTCCTCTGCAACCCCGTTGCGGTGGTAGAAGCCTCTCTTTCTACCCACCAGCAAAACAAATTGGGACCGACGTGACCGAATTAAACGCTCGGTGATGCTTGTCCTGTTCGAGTGGAGATGCTTTTGGTCCTTTCCCTGGGAGTGGCGGCGATAACCCTCGCCGCTCGCCCGTAATCTGTTTCGTTTCGCAGGCGCTTCGGATTGGGAAGAAGCTTAAGTCCCTGGACGCTAAGATGTACGGGGCGTACTGGTGCACCCATTGCTTTAACCAAAAGGAGATGCTGGGCAAGGAGGCCATGTCGAAGGTCAAGTACATCGAGTGGTGAGTCCTGGTTCGGTTTGTCTGCCGGCGCTACGGTACATTAGATACGAGAAGTAGTGCGGCGACATTTGCGTTAGGGTTTCATCCATTCGGCGCGTTTCGTTCCTCCCGTACCTCACTCCGGTGCCGAGTTTTCCACGTGTGGGCACGCCAAAGCTTGACCTACTAGTGTTGTATTCGTAGCACGCTTGACCCGGCAGGCGCCAATGTCTACTCTGCGTGCGGACGAAGCATCGTACATGGCCTTCTCTCAATGCCTATTCTGCGCGCAGCCGAAAGCATTGTACATGGCCTCCGCTGTGTATTGTTGTCGTTTGCAGTTCCAACCGTGGGGTGGACAACCAGGTTGACATGTGCAAGGCCGCTGACATCCCGGGTTTCCCTACGTGGGACATTGACGGGAAGCTGTACCCGGGCGAGCAGACCTTGGAAGAGCTAGAGGAGATCGTAGGTCTCGCGCCCTATAAAGGATGAAGATGTTGCCGCTTCCCATGACATGTAACAGGGGTTCGAATCCCGGCGTTAGCGAGCTTGTCTTGCAAAGTGAGTTCTTCCGTTCCTGGCCTAGTGGATAGCGCTCGATTGTGTGTACAGAGGGAAGAGAGTGCTGAACTCTTCTCGCCATAAAAAATCGAAGGCAACGTACCGCAGGAGGGGAGGGTAGAGAGGGGCCCTTCTGTGTGACCACGGGTTGGAGTAAACGGCACGAGTGGTGTGAGCGCTGATTTGAAGTGAACACAAAAAATAACAAATAACGTCTCTTACGAGTTAGTCTATGGTGCAGGCAGCCATCACTCTCAGGTGGGGGTTGATTCCTAGGCGGCGGAACTAACGTCGTAGTGTGGTCGAATAAAACGTGGTATGGAAATCGCATAGAGTATCAGGCTGGCTTGGCTTCAACCGCGTGGAATACTGACTTCTTCGTGCGTGATCGGTGTGAAGAACATGCCAGCCTTGACCTCTGACTTTTCAGCACCCATGCGTTTTCCTGACGCTGTGATTTTATGTTGTGTCTGGTACGTTGAGTTTCGGCGATAATGCCCCGTTTTGTCTAGGCACAGACTACCCCTTAGTGTACGCAAAGAAGTATCTTTACCACGGAAAAATACCAGGCACGGTGCACGCCCACCCTAACCGAACTTCGAAAAACCTGCGTAGGCTACTTCTGTTGTTGCTTGCCTGTCGACCCATGGCGATTCGAAGAAACATTTCTTCTGATGTGCGATTAGCCCGGGGATCGATATCTCAGTTGATTGCTAAATACATCTTTGATATGCCTACCACGGATTCTTACATGTGGCAGAGATGGTCTTGTTGTGCTCTTTGTGAGAAAGGAGAAAAAACTTTTATCACCGACGACGCCACTTTTTTCACAACGGAACTGCCTCTTAAGCTGCCTCAAGGTGCAACAGTCGACCTCGATCTCGACGGTCGTCTTGGTTCTGTCTACGAGTGAATGTATGTAAGCGACGTAAGATGGTCGCAAGTTTGCGCCATGGTGTACGCGTTGCCATCGCCGACAGGGCACAGACAACGGGTATGGTACGCATAATGATTCAGAATGACGGCACGTAGTTTTTTTCTGTACCCCCTACTTTTGAGATCCAACGATGATCCTCAGTCGGTGAGTTCGAATCTCGGGGCGCAGTCATCATGTACGTACCGAACGAACTAGGATTTAGTCTCTCATCCTTGAACAGAAAAAAAAAGACAAATCGTCGACGAGTTCCAACCTCACTGCTGTCACGGAGATGATGTATTCTTAGAACCAAGCGCGCCTTTACGTATCATGCTAGCCAGGCACGGTACATCTAATCAAACAGCAGAGATCAAGCACCACGCACCGAGGGTCACGCACCGTTATGTTTGTAGCCAACAGATGAGTCAGAGTGTCGACGAATAAAATCAACTTCTTCCCGTCCTCTCTGCTGACCCCGGCTGGTGGTGGTGGTGGGGGTCTGGTACGAAGAGCACGGAGAGCGGAGAGGCCAAGAGGGCAAAGAGTGGCGTCCAGAGCAAAGAAAAAAATGCAACCAGATCGATACGATGGTAACACGCAACACGGACTGCTTATTCGAGCCTTGTTCGTTCACGGATATTCATGTCTTTCTTTTGCCATGCTTTGTCATGAGGAATGATCAGGGATATCCTAGAGCTCGACGCAAATCTCTGTCGGTTGAACGGGAGGATGGATCATAGGAGTACAGCAGCAGCAGCAGCAGTAGTAGTAGTAGTTTCGGAACGTTGACTACATCGACTACAGCTTTCTGCTGGAGTTTCTGGGCAACTTACAGGCAACGACCAATAGGCTCAACCAAACTGTAACTGCATAGTCTAGTCTATACATTGAGTTCGAGGACCGGATTGTGACAGCAACAACAACAACAACAACGAGGAAAAAACTTCCAAGCACGACACGACGAAATAACGAGAAAAGAACAGAAGTTGGAAGAGTCATCGTCTCTCATTCCATCCATCCTTCAGACATATGTCATCCTCATCTGTCTGCTGTGCTGCTTGCTGCACGTGTGCAACATGTAGTATACCATCTCTCTCTCTCTCTCTCTCTCTCTCTCTCTCTCTCTCTCTCTCTCTTTCTATCTATATCTCTGAGTCTCTCTATCTATCTCTCTGAGTCTCTCTTCGCTTCGTCTCGCTGTCTCTATCTTTCTCTCTCTGTCTCTATTTGCCTCTAGATTTGTGCATGTATCGTGATGTTNTACTCTCTCTCTGTTGCTACCGTATTCAGCAGTCTGTGCAAAGCGTCGTTGCACCACACTCGTATCTCTGAGATTGCAGTCAATCAATCGAAATCGAGATCGGCATTTGATTCTTCTACGGCGTCGAGCGGCAAGTCACGAAATATTTGACATTTTTAGTCCCGGCGTGTCTGCAGCACCACGGGGCGTTGTTTTTTGTTGGAGTTGTCTTGGGGCGGGGAGTCTTGTCCGTTCCTGTTCCACCGTCCAAACCATGGCGGCACGCTTATTACCCCTACCAGGTGACGGGCGCACCATGATGAGTAAGGTTTAGGACCTCATCGTCTAGGGAGGTGGTCGAGAAGAGGGAACGCGAAGGAAAAGAGTTACACGTTATGAAACTTCCTGACACACGCCCATCCAAAATCACTGCGAAAACAGTACGTGCCCTACGTAGTAGATGTGCACGACCTCCCCGGGTACAGGTACGCGTGCATAACCGTTCTTTGCGGCGTCCGCTTGTTGCTCCTCAACCCAAGGGCGTCGCTTGCGCCCCTAATCCCCTCGTCGTTCTCCCTTCGCCCTCTTTGCATCAGGAACCATTTCACATTTTCATCACGTCTGATTTTGGGATCTTTACAGATGGAGAAGAAATTCATCTGCGTTTTTGATTGGTACAAGTGCGCGCAGCGGACCGCGCGGGTGGACAACGTAGAATTTCGTGCATACGCACAACAAGGGGCCCGGCACAACCCCTAACTCTGTAGTGGTAAGGCGTATCAGTAGCTAAACCTCGTTGCCTCGCTGATTGGAGGGCTGTGTACCGCTGCACGGCGGTTCACTGCTGCTGCTTTTGCTGCGCCCACGATCGCGGGGTCTGTTGGCCGGGCGTGTCTTTGATTCTTGGCGGGCGAAGCTTGGCGAAGGTAGAATAATATGAATACCCGATGGGTCGGGTCATCGATCGATACCCCAACCACAGACAGCAGTGGGCTACCTCCAATCAGCAGGCAGAGGCACTACGGAGCTGTTGAGCTGGGGGACACCGGCGAGCAAGTCAACGTCAATGACGTCGTGGAGATCGCCGATGCCGTCAAAATCGAGAGTGGTAGCGGAGGTTCACCGTCACAACCGCGCCTAGCTCAGGTCTGTTTGGTGGAGAGTCAGTATTTTTGTATCAACATACTTTTAAGTGTAAGATGGGGGTTTTGGTCCTGCGGAGCTGGCGGTACAAAAGTATGTGCTTTCTCTTCTTCGTTTTCGAGCGCCGAGCTAGCCATCCCAAGAGAGCTCGTGACTACTGCTGCAGAGCCTTCTCCTCTTATCCCGCTCGCCTCTGCTGTGTTAAAATTGCACGCCCCGCCACCTTATCTCCACCTCCATGTTGGCGTGATCGTTGAACCCGAAAAAGTGACCGTCCGCTCTCATTGGCTCTTGGACAGCAAGAGTGGAGAGTGGAGAAGAAAATGTAACGCGTGTTCGGAGCCAGCATGCAAAATCGACCCGGCATGCAAATCGACCATGCATGCAACTCGACGCGGCATAAGCCCTCAATAATGGTAGCTAGGGTTGTAATGCTTGCCGTGTCTGAGTCATCACCACCAACAAACAGCAGAATGTTCGCAGAGCGGAAGCCGACATGCAGAAGGGTCATATGTTGCTTTTTTTTGTTGGAGATCGATCCCCCCGGTCTCCGGACGAGGTTTTTTCGGCGCTTGAGGACGGGCAGCTCGTCAAAACACAACTCTGGGTGTACGTTGTACGTAGGTCTACATGGTATGTCGATCCCGCGAGAGACTACTGCTGCTTTGTCTCGTCTATATCAGGCTAACCGCCCTCTCTCGCGGCGGCCGCTACCCACAAATACCTTGATGATTGCCGTGCCGACCTCACCTCCTCCTCACGTCATGAATCCTCAGTTTCTCCGTTGTTGAATCCGGCAGAATCTCGTAAATTTTGGAGTATCTCGGAATCGACTCTCTATTATCCGCCCGGTTAATCGTGAAATCATCTCCCGAAGTATTGCAAAATCCCCCCGATGAATGCTCCTTGCACCTGTAGGTATATATGTATCACGTTACGTTCGGGCCAGTCGACCTACCTGTCGCTGTCTTGACAACAAGCATCGCACCTGGCGGAGGAGAGTCCACTATTTAGGCTAATTTGATACTTAAAAATAAGCTTGAAGGAAGCCAGATCTTTATGCGCTATCGTCTTGTCCGTGTCTCATCAGTGGCCTATGGCTCGCGCCCGCCAGTGACAACAATCCCAAAAGTTCGAACGGGATATGTATTATCTCGAACGGGCGATTTTTCATTTTTTCCGGTTGATTTTTTCCACGGACCCCTTCATTGACTGGTAATTTCCGCGAACCAGTCACCGGCTTTACCTACCGGCAATACCACCACAAAAAACGGGGATGAGAGACTACTGTCCCCGGATTTCCATTCGTTTCGTTCAATTCTGCTGTGTGCTGCACTGAGCGCTGGCACAACACCACAAACAGCAACAGTAGCGATGCTTTGATGCCTGGACCCCTAATTGTCGGCGTGCACCTTCTTAAGTATACACCACAAACAGCAACAGTAGCGATGCTTTGATACTGTGACCCCCTAATTGTCGGCGTGCACCTTCTTTGAGCGTGTTCGGGAGAGTGGTTGCGGGCTGAAAACACAGTAAACATTAAATAATAATAATCATAATAATCATAACAATCAGGCTGAGTCTTACGGCGTGATTATTTCCGGATTGGATTTGGGGGGGGGGTCCTTTTCTGAGCCAAAAAAATAATTTGGGCGTCTT